GGACATGGCGCGCCCGGGGGGGCGTGGCAGCGCGCACCCGACTCCTCCTCCGCCTCGCTCTCCTCCTCGCCCTCCTCCTCGCTCTCCTCCTCGCTCTCCTCCTCGCTCTCCTCCTCCCCGCTCTCCTCCTCCTCGCTCTCCTCCGCCTCAGCCATCTCTGAGTCCGCCGCCTCCGCCGCCTCCGCCGCCAACGGCTGCTCCGGCCCAATCAGCGCCCCAGCCGGCTCGACGAGCGTTCGCAACGCCTGCAGCGCCTGCACCGGCGCGCGGACCTCGAACTCGTAGCTGTCGACCCGCGGGCTCGGCGTGCCGTCGTCGAAAGCGATGACCGGGTACCCGCACAAGGTCCCGCCCGACAGCGCGAGGATCGCCGCGGGGATCTCGGACGCGCGGCAGCGGCAATGGACGAGGATCGAGCCCCCCTCGATCGGTGTGACCTCCAGGTCCTCTATCCCAGTGAGGCGCCGGAGCGCACCCTCGAGCCTTGCCCGCAGATCCTTGCGCTCCCCCGGCGCGGACGGCAGCTTGCCGTCTAGCCGGAGGGTGAAGCGAGTGCCCTCCCACTCGACAGACACTCCGTAAGGGATGCGCACCTCATCGCAGAGATACGTCTGCAGCATCGCCTGCACGGCGGCAGCGAACTCCTCCGACGGTTCCGCGCCGGCTGCCAATCGGGAGCGGGCGAGCCGCTGCCAGTCCGCCAAGTGGTTCGGACCCTTCTCCGACAATCCGAGAGAATGCGGGTCCGTGTGCAAGAGAAGGCGCAAACCCTTTGGGTCCTGCACCACGCCCTCGAGCGGGGCTGAGTTGCCGATGCGCAAGCAGCTCGCGAGGAGACCCAGCAAGTCCTTGTCCTGCACGGTGAACGTCGCCGAAAGCGACGGCTGCTGCTGCGGCCCGCCAGACGACACGATGCTGGTGGTGGCCGACGAGAGGCGATGCGCAAGAGGAGAAGCACCGCCGCCGCCGCCGCCGCCGTCGCCGCCGCCGCCAACGCTCTTCCGGGTGCGCTTGACTGGCGCCTTTGAGGCTGTCGCCTTGCGCTTGCCGGCTGCGGCGGTGCTGCCGGCTGCAGCGCTGCCGGCTGCGGCGGCGCTCACAGGCCGAAACGGTGGCCGCGCTGACGAGTTGTACTCGAGGAGGAGGTACTCGCCGTCAAACTTGAAGCAATCGAGTCCATCTCCGCGGCCTCCGCCCTCGCCGCCGCCGCCCTCGCCGCCTCCGCCCTCGCCGCCGCCGCCCTCGCCGCCGCCGCCCTCGCCGCCGCCGGCGACGCCCGCGTCGCTAGTCGGGCCGCCCGCTCTGCCGCCGCCACGCTCGCTGCCGCCGCCGACGGAGCCGCCGCCCTCTATGCCAATCGGGCACGGAGAGATGAAGATGGCAGGGCCGTCTTCATTTCTCCGACGGCAGCGGTTGACGACCAGGCCGACGAGGCCGCTCGAGTGCTCCTTCCACGGCGTGTTCTTCAGGTACCCGCGATTCTTCCATGAACCCGTGTCCTTCTCGCTCTCCGCCGCCACTCGCACGCGCGCCCGACTGATTCTCAGCCCGTTCTCCTTGCTCTCCTGGGAGTAGTGCTTGACGTGAACTTCCTCTCCCTCGTCCACCGTGTGCGCGCACCGCTTCCCCTCCAGGATGCCGCCGAAGCAGTACGTCTGGCCCTCTGAAAGCTTCGGCCAATCGTCGACGCCGTAAATACGTTCTCTCGGGTCTGCGCTGGGCCCGGTGGCCGGCGGGGGCTGCGTCGTATAGTCTGGATGCGGCCGTAGGACCGATTGCGGCAGGGCGCTAGTTCCGGCAGCGCCGGGCGGCGGTGCAGCGCCTAACGCCTGGAGCGGTGCCAGCCCGAGTGAGACGGCTGTCGCCATATCCTGCAGCTCCGTTGTACTGAAACCGAGGAGCGGTGGTAGCTCGTCCTGATGCTCGGCGCTGGGCGGCGACATAGAGACACCCAGCCCCCCCCCCTCAACAGACGCCTTCGGAGAAGAATTCTTACGAGAAGAATTAGAGGGTCACTGGTACGCGGGTCCAACCCTCGGAGAGTATTCTTTAGCTCCGAGTAGAGGGGGTGCGGTCTGCTGCTAGGGAGGGCCAAGGAAGCGCGAGGGAAAAATTCCGCCGCTGAGGGAAACCCGGAGCGCTGCCGTACGCCCTCGGAGACCCGTGTTATGGCCCTGCGACCGCGCACCCCCCCACGGTCGAGGAAGAGGGGGCGTCCTGCAGTTAAGGGGACACCCGGTACGCGGGGCCAACCCTCGGAGACCCGTGTTTACTTTAAGGCCCTTGCCCTGCGAACGCGCACCCCCCAGGGCTAGGGCTCTCTTGCCCGCAACCCGATGCCAATCATCCGGCCCGCTGGGTGCGCTTCTGAGCTCCCCGGCCCTGGATGTGCGGTTAATGACTGCACTCCAAGTGCTCCAAGTGCCGCTCACTCTACCTCACAGCAGACAGGCTCGACACAGGTGCGAACTGGCGCGTGCTGGATATCAAAGGCCGAGTTGTGTTCGGACAGCGGGCCCGCCGATGCCACACGCCTCTTCACACAGCGCCTGCCCCCCCGACAACGTCGGTCCCGGTGCAATGTCGTTGACGAGGTAGTCCTCCCCCTCCCACCGGAAAACCTGCCCAAGAAGGTCCGTCGAGCCAACCAGTCGTCTTGCCAGGCTCCGCACTTCCCGCGGCTGCACCGGCCTGAGAACGCCAGTGCTGACCGCGAGCGACAGACCTATCGCCCTAAGCTCCGCCAGGACCGCCTTTTCGCCCGCCGCCGCGGCCGCCCGATCCTTCTCGGCCTCCCGAATTGCCTCCTCCCGACTCCTTGCTCTGTCTGCCGCCGGCACGAACCTCATCGGGCCGCTGCCTCGTTCCCTTCCTGGTAAGATTCGCGTCGGGGCCGGCCGGTCCACCGTGCCGCCCCGCTCGGGGTGCGCTCGCCTGTTGCGACGGCTGCCCCCCCCCTCGCCGCCCCCCCGTATCCTTGTCTCCTCTTCTCACGGACCACAGGGGACACGCGTCTAAAATTCTTTGTTTTTCGCGAGGTGGAGCTGGAGCGGCCTTCGCGGCAGCGGCTCCACCTCCGCCGCGGGCGACGGCGGCGGCCGCGAGCCGCCCCCGCCCTCCCCGCAGCCATGCCGGCACCCGGTCTGGCCGGCCTGGCCGCCGCTCCACCACTCCGACCGACCTGCTCCACCTCGCCAACCTGCTCCAGCTCCAGCGCTCCAGCTCCGCCTCCACCAACCTGAGGGCTCTCTCTGCTCCTTGCGGCTTTGCCCTCCCTCCAGCCTCGTCCAGCGCGCCTCGGTGCGCCGCGCCCTCGCCCGTCGCGCCTCGCCTCCGCGCCCCGCCGCCCTCGCCACCCCTGCTTGCTCTCCTTCTCTCCCTCCTCCCGCCTCGCGCCGCGTGCGCCGCCCGCCTCGGAAGCCCACCCCTGACATCCGACCGCATCTCGACCCAGACCCTGTCCCGATGCCGTCCTGCATCGTCTGCTACGAGGAGAAGGAGCGCGCGATCGTGTGCGCCGAGGGCCACGCGACATGCGAGGAGTGCCTCGCGCCGTTCGTCGCCGGCAACGCCGACGCCCTCTCCAAGACCGACCTCATCGCCTCCATGGCGGACGCCGCCGCGGCGCGCAACGACACCGCCGCCGTCGCCAAGTTTGAGGGCCGCTGCCTCTGCCCGCTCTCCGGCCACGGGTGCAACGCGGGCCCCTTTGAGGACAAGGACGTCGCGGCGCACGTTCCGTCCGACGTCTTCTGCGCGTTCGTCGGCTGCAAGGTGCACCTTCCGCTCGCGCGCAAGCTGCAGGACGTGGTGGCAAAGAAGCAGGAGCTCAGCCTGCAGTTCCCGAACGCGCGCCAGTGCGGCCGCTGCTCGCACGGCCCCGTGCTCTTCAGGCGCCGCCGCCTCCAAACCCGCTTCCGCCGCCTCCACCCTGCCCGCCGCCTCCACCTTCCAATCCTCCGCCCTCCTCCCCTACCGCCGAGCCCTCACCACCACCCCCTCCCACCGCCCTCTCCGTCCTCGCCACCGCCTCCCCCACACTCGCCGCCTCCCCCACCCTCGCCGCCTCCGAGCCTCACGCCACCATCCGCGCCACCGCCGACCCCGCCGCCGGCTCCGCCGCTCCAGGGGCTGCTCCGACCTCACCACGCACCACGGCCAAGGCGGAATCGACAACTCGTGCGGCCGCTGCGGCTGGCGCGCGCTCCTGATACATCCCCTCTGCTGGCCTCCACACTTCCCCTCTGAACTCTCTCGACGGCCTCCCATGCCACTTGAAGGCCCTGCATGCTTTGCACCCGTGGGCAGTTTGTGCGAACCCCGTCCCCTCCCTCCTCCACGCGCAGGTTCGCGCCTCACATCTCGATGTGGCCGCGCTGGGACCCGACCGCAGCGGCGCTCTGTCGCGACAACTATCCGAGGACGACCCGAGACGGCCTCGAGATGACCGCGAGATTGCGCGAGGTCGTAGGCGCTCGGGCGCGACGACCCGCTCGACGCCGTCTTCTCAGAGGCGCGAGGCCCCTTCTCTGCCCCTTCTCTGCCCCTTTCTCTGCCACCTCCCAGCCCTTGCCCCGCACTGGCGTGGGGGAGACTTGTGCCTCGCCTCGGCGCAGGCGCAAGAGGACGAGCCGGCCGCCGCCGCGCGCGCCGAGGAGCGACGCCGCCAAGCGGCCCTCTTCCGGCAGCAGCAAGAGGCCCCCCCCCCCCCCCCCCCTGCCGCCGCCCCCGCCCGCACACCACCCACACCCCAACCCTCGCAGCCCCTCCCCCGCAACTGCCTGCTCATGCGCACCGAGCCTTGGTTTGAATGCCGCGGGGCTCCTGATGTCTTGCCTCTCACCCTCACCGCACCACGCTTACCTCACCCCACCTTCCTCCGCCCCATCCTTGCCCGCCAGGCGCGCGAGGAGGAGCGCCGCCAGTGGATGCAAGGGGTGGTCGTCCGGCGGCGGGCGGCCCGCGAGGCACCATCTAGATGCGACACCATCCTAGCATTCCCGCAGTCTTGGCGGCCACCAGAGACTACGCTTCTCTCGCTCCAAAAGACAGCGCACGACCCTGTGTCTTCACGCCCTCACCGCTGCGCGATCATACCCCAGGCTCGCATGGTGTCGATGGAGGAGCGGCGCGCGCTCCGCGACGACGGCTGGGGCGTCGCCCAGCAGTTGCCGAGCGGCGAGCGCCGCTGGCACGACTTCGACTCGCGCCCGCCCTCGTGGCGCCGGCAGCAAGAGCCGCAAGAGCCGCCAAGGCAGCGCCGCCGCGTGGTCGTCGAGGGCGAGTGGCCGCCGGTGCACTTTCTAGATGGCCATCACTACCTAGATGGCGGTAGAGAGGTGAGGACACAGTCTGGCCAGCGACTGACTGGACACCATGGGACACAAGCGGCACACAGACCCTGTGTGGATCCCTGCCCAACCCCCCCTCTCCT